GCTGGTTTTTCTTAGGAGTACATAAGACAGACCTATCAACTGTCGCCGTGTCTCTCAGTCTGTGTTGCCTGTTTTCCCCTCTCCAGGAGCAAAGGAACCCCACGAGACTCTGTGTTACAGATARTCAGAATCCTAGGTAAATTCTTCCTGGCCAGCATTGGACCCTGTGGTTGATGGAATACCTGTTTAGTTTACCTGGCTGTTAGTAGCTACTGCAAAACTATAAACTCAACATGGAACAGTGGACTATGTCATTGTTCTGAGGGGAGCAGAGCATCCGTTGGTGGGAGGATCTCTTCTGTGCTGCCCCTGGAGGGGTCTAAGAATGTTGTTTTCTCTGGTCAAAAGTAAGAGCTGTCTGGGTAGAAGGGATTCTCAAAATGAAATTTGAGACTTAAATACTCCAAATGCCAGATAATAGATTGAGTTGAGTTTCTAGAACTTTAGGGAAATAAATGACAAAATAAAAGCTACTCCCATGAACCTAAGTGACAGCCAGGAGGACACACAAGTCACTGCCGGATGTTTCTTGAAGCTGGGTTATACTAGTGGAGGAGGGTGGAGAGGTGTAGGGGCGAGGCTTGGCTCCAACAGGACAGGTTGAGGGCCATGAGTAAGGTTACCGCCACTCAGGTCTGACCCTCCAAGTCTCTGCCATGTGTAGGGCAAATATTCTTGACCTTGAAAGAGGCCAGCAGTATACTGTTACTACACCCTCAAATATTAATTTCCATGAGAGCAATAAGTTCAAAACATAGTAAAAATCCATAATCTCCCCAACTGACTAGAAGACTCCCCAGAAGGACTTGGTATCTAAATGATATGCACGTCTACATTCTTTTCATTAACTTCTGCCCTCACTATTTCTCAGGAATTTTGTTTCCTTTGGGCTTTGGGGAATAAGAAAATAGACCAATCTCAATCACAGGACTCCTTACAGTTTGTAAAACTGTACTTTATAGTTTGTAGGGAATTTTATCTTGCTTCATCTTTACTACTGTAAAGTTAGTTGATGGTGATATTTGTGATCATTAGCAACATCTCCCAGTTTCACCCACAAGGAAACTGAGGCTCAACCAGATGGAGCCACTTGCCGTAGATCTTAGGGACTCCAGATCTTCTAGCTCTGAGTACAACCTTCTTTCTCAGCCTCACCTTGAAGGGGTGAGGTATGAAGGATATTCAAGTTCAGAATGAGTTGCTTCTGCTTTTCCTTCTCTCCATCACTCATTTTTCTCCCAGGGAAGAAGTTTCCTAAGGAAATGTCAGAGGGTTCCGGGATCTTTTACCATTAAAAAAAAATTCAGTTGTTTTATCTTTCTTCCCTCTCTCCTCTTTCTTTTTTCTTACTGCTGAAGATTGAACCCAGGAATGCCCTACCACTGAGCCACCTCCTCAACCCTTTTTATTTTTTACTTTTAGACAGGGTGAGACTAGCCTCGAACTTGCCATCCTCCTGCCTCAGCCTCCCCCATATCTGGTATTATAGGCAAGCACCACCATGCCTGGCTCAGATATTTTATCATTTCATAGGTAGGTTTAAGTCCAAGTCATAAGAACCACTAAAGCCAAGATACTCTTCCTCATCCTCCCTCTCTAGTCCTCTTTTTCTCTATAATTGCTCTGTCCATTTAATCACCTGCMTTCATCCTCACCCTCATTATTCTCCTCCTCTTTATCATCCTCTGACAGCAGAATCCTTGGTTGATTGACACATAGGACTGTACCACAAATAATTTATCTTTCAGAAGCCCTTTCCCTGGATATGTATATTTTTCTCTATCATACTGCACTAATTAATCCAATTGTGTCTACAGATCTTATGCAAAAAGTGAATTGAGAAATAATCTTTCCTTTTTCTCAAAGTGTTCACAAACATGTTTGAATATGTCATTCTCTCTGGGCTAAAAATGATTTTTTTTTTATGGCTAACTAATGCTGTCCTTCAGGCAGCTTCCTACAGCTTCTGTTGTTCACATAGAAACCAGAAAAAAATAACAGTGACCCTTGGAGCTAATTAATTATTGTAGGGATTCTGGAGATGAAAGCTCTGTACTTTTACCAAGCGGGCAAATAATTTATTTTGAAATACAGATAGACAAAAAGAGTTAAGAGGAATAAACATCATATCACTTTAGCGGACTATTCTCCAAAATACTAAAGATTTTGTAACAACATGGGAAGATATTTATGGCAGGTTAAAGACAGGAAAATACATAATGCAAATGGTATGTAATGTTAAAAATGACATAAAAGTATACCGCAAGTTCTCAGTTACGTAAAGGTGATAGACTTTAATTTTCTTGCACACATAGGCTTGGAACCTGTTGTTTGTATTTGTTGAGACCTGCATTGATTCTATATGGGGGTCAATTGTTATAAATATTTCCTGTGTGCTTGAAAAGAGCATGCAGTTTTTGGTTGATTGCAGGGTTTTATGTATGATTTAATATCAAGCTTGTTAATTATGTTTAAATGGTTTATATCTTTACTAATATTTAATCTGATCTATAACACTAAGGGGATATGTTATAATCTCCCATGATGGTTATGTATTTGTTTTTTTCTCTTAATTCCWATTTAATTTTGGTTTTATCTATTATGGGGGCAATGTTATTTGGTATATATAAGTTTAGGACARTCATTTTTAAATTAATTTTTCTTTTCATTTTGATGTATTTTCTCTTTCATCTCTAGTAATTTTTTGGTTTGAATTATATTTTGTGTGATATAAATGTAGCTACACCAATTTTCTATTTGCTTAATATAACTTTTGTTTTTTTTCTTTCAGTCTTTCTGCAATTTTATATTTTTAAATGTATATATTATAAATAAAACACATTGACTCTTTTAAGTGGTGAATTTAACTCATTTAATTTTATGTTGATTACAGATAGATTTGGATTTTCTGAGTATTCTATTGTACTCCTTATTTACGTTAATTTTTTCCATACTTTTCCACCTTCCCTCAAGTGGAAATTCGACTTAATGATTTAAAACCYTTTTTTTCTTTTCTAATTAAAACCTATGAATTTCCCCTTAAGTAATTTAAACTTTATCCTATAAATCTGGATGTGTGTTTTTCCCCTCCATATTGGGGGGACTGAACTCAGGGGTGCTTTACCACTGAGTTATACCCCAACCTTTATTTATTTATTTTTATTTTTAATTGATTTTTAAAATAAATGACAGTGGAATGCATTACAATTCTTATTACATGTATACAGCACAAATTTTTATATATCTGGTTGTAATATAAAGTATGTTGACACCAATTCGTGTCTTCATACATGTACTTTGGATGATGATGTCCTTCATCCTTGCTAATCCCCTGTCCCCTCCCTTTCCCTCCCATCCTTCTGCCCTATCTAGAGTTCATTTTTTAAAATAACAAGATCTCCTGAAGTTACGCAGCCTGGCCTCAAACTTGCAACCCTCCCGCCTCAGACTTTTGAGTAGCTGGGATTATAGGCATGAGAACTGTGTCCAGCTCTTTGTTCCAAATATTGGAAAAAAGACYTTTGTCCAGAATACATAAAGAATTCTTACAATTCATTAGTAAAATGACAACCCAATGAAAAAAAATGGAGAAAAGATTTGCATGGAAAATGTAAGAATGTCTAATAAGCCCATGAAAGGTATTCACTTGGGCAATGTCAATTAAAGCCACATGATGCCATTTCATACCTACTGGGATAGACATAAACAAAAAGATGGACAGTAACAAAAAGATTTGGAAAAATTGGAACGTTCATACATTGCTGGAAGCAATGTGACATGGTACAGTCACTTTGGGAAACAATTCAGCAACTTTTTTTTTTACTGTATTTTATTTTTAACACAAATGTAACATAATTAGTGTAGTAGTTTTACACATTTATGGTGCATAGAGTGAAACTTTAGTATAAATCCAATCAAATCAGGGTAATTGACACATCTGTCACCTCAGACATTTATCACTTCTTTTTGTTAGGAACATTCAAAATCCTCTCTACTAAGTATTTTGAAATATACCATTAATTGCTGTCGACCATAGTTATCTTACTTTACTACAGAACATTAGTTTGGTTTGGTATTTTCTAAAAGTTAAATATAGATTACTATATAACCCAGCAAACATTCTGCTCCATGGCATATACTCAAGATGTAAAAATATAAATCTGTACAGAAACTCGTATGTAAATATTGATAGTACCTTTTTTTTTTGTATAATTGCCAAAGAAAGGAGAACATCCCAATGTTCATTAAACATTGAATGAATGAAGAATATTTGATAGGTTAGCATGATGGAATATTATTTAGCAATAAAAAGATAAACTTCAAAATATATCCTTTGGAAAAAAGCTAGATGCAAGACTATATATTTTATGATTATATTTTTATGAAATGCTCATAAAAAGCAAATATACATAGAGAGGAAAAAGATTAGTGGTTTCCTAGCATTGGGAGTGGGAATTAAGATGGGTGGCAAATGAACATGTGGGATATTCTTAGCATGATGAAAATGTTCTAAACTTGAATTATGGTAATGGTTGCAAAGCTTGGTAAAATTTGCTAAGAATCATTGGAGTATATACATCAAATGGGTAAATTTCAAAGCGTACCAACTATACCTCAATTCAGCTATTAAAAAGTCTACCCCAGTCAACTAGACTAGTTCTGAATATTTTAGAAATTATTTCTTCACATTCTGTGTTAAGATAACCAGTATCATTAAGACTTGTAATGGACATGGTAAAAATTAAACATTCCTAAAAGCCCTCAAGATGAACAGAGCGGGCTTCAATATTCAATGTCATGATCATTCCAGAAGGAAAAGTTCCAAGTTCAGTGCTGCAAATCTTTCTGGCTGCCTTCCAAGGAGAGAGGCTGAGATGAACTTTGTCCTGGCATAACGCTCCTTATCACTGATTAACCAGATCTCTAGGACAGTCACTGTGCCAACACTCGGCTTTGCCTGAAGAGACATATTCAGCCAAGCCTTGGTGAGCAGGAAAAAAATGTCCACTCGCTACCACCAAGCTGCTAGTGATAGCTACCTGGAACTTCTGAAGGAGGCTACCAAGCGAGATCTGAATCTTTCTGATGAAGATGGAATGACTCCCACTCTCCTGGCAGCCTACCACGGGAACTTGGAAGCCTTAGAAATAATCTGCAGCAGAGGGTAAGCTCAACCTGATGGTTCTGTAAGAGACAGGGGTTATGGTAGGATTTTACAGGAAACAGCAAGAGTCAGGGAAGTCAGTGAAAATGCTTTGCCCTCTTTTTAGAATGTCCAAATAACTGGCTTTTTAGAGAAAGAGAGAGTATTATATTAGAGATGCAGTCTTTCTCACAGAATTGGCACCATGGGAGGGGCTCACCCATTAGCCAAAGGCAGAGGATTGACACTGAGCTCTAAGGCATTGTTACTGGCCTGGGGGGTGGGGAGATTTTAATCTAGTGTCTTTACAAATCTTTTTCATGAAATTTAAATAGTGGAATCTTTAAAAAGGGGGCTGGGCATGGTGGCACAGGCCTGTAATCCCAGCAGCTCAGGGGGCTGAAGCAGAAGGATCACGAATTCAAAGCCAGCCTGAGCAATTTAGCAAGGCCCTAAGCAACTCAGCAAGACCTTGCCTCTGAGTAAAATACCAAAAAAAAAAAAAAAAAAAAAAAAAAGAGCTGGGGATATGGCTC